TCAAGCTGGTAAATTAGTTCGCAGTTAGGGTCAGTTGCCCTTGGCCTGCTGTGAAGGACAGTTCAGATCACCCTCCGTTCACCACTCAAATCTGGCCCGTGTCTCTTTTTCAAGCTTGTTTCTCCCGTTTCGGTGTTGTTACCTTGAATCGCCAGCAGGTGGTTCTGTCTCAGCTGCTCTCCCCAGAGGGTGTGGCGCCTGACAGGAGCCGGGTGGTGGAAGCCTGCCTCAGGGCACACAGTAGGAGACCCACAGCAGGCAAGACTTCAAGGTGGCTGCAGAGGTGGCAGCGATCCCAGCAGATCTTGCCTGCAGGGGCTTCAAGGACTGAAGTCATGGATCACCTCAGGCACGGGTGGCGCGATGCGCTATGGCCGCCATGGAAGCTGTGGCGGCGCCGGTGGCTGCTGTGTCTGCGGCTGCAGTGGCTGTCCAGACTGCTGTAATGCCCCAGCAGTGGCAGCGGCTGAGCTCCGTGTGAAGAGCAGGCTTCCGACGTTGGGGTCCGCAGCCCCCGGGGAGAGAGCCAGAGACCCTCTGCGTTCTCCTTTGCAGAGGGTTTCATAGACCAGGCTGCCCCGTCGCCATCTTGCCGGAAGTCCCTGTGAAAGACCTTTATAACAAAAATTACAAAACACTGCTCAAAGAAATCAAAGATAACATAAACAAATGGAAAAGTATTCCATGCTCTTGGATTGGAAGAATCAACATTGTTAAGATGTCCATCCTACCCAAGGCAATCTATAGATTTAGCACAATACCCATTAAATTACCAGCAGCATTCTTCTGGAAACGACAATACAGGAATTCATATGGAAACACAAACTACCACAAACTGCCAAAACAATCCTCAACAACAACAAAAAAAGAGTGAGAGATATCACACTCCTAGACTTTAAACTCTATTATAAAGCTATAATAATCAAAACAGCCTAGTATTGGTACAAGAACAGGCATATAGACCAATGGAACAGGATAGAGGTTCTGGAAGCAAAACCTCAATTTCTTAACTAACTCATCTTTGACAAAGCCTCCACCATCAAACACTAGGGCGAGGAGAAGCTGCTTAGTAAATGGTGCTGGGAAAACTGGCTGACCACATGCAGAACATTAAAACTAGACCCCTACCTATCACCATACACAAAAATCAACTCTAAATGGATCAAAGCTCTAAATGTAAAACCTCAAACTATAAGAACCTTAGAAAATGCAGGAGATATCCTTATGGAAATTGGAATTGGCAACCAATTGCTGATCAAAAACAAATGCCTGTGCCATAAGAGATAAGATAGACAAGTGGGACCTCATTAAACTGACAAGCTTCTGCAAAGCCAAAGAAACCATCAAGAAAGTGAGGAGACAGCCCACAGTCTGGGAAAAATATTTGTCAACTGTATGTCTGACAGAGGCCTAATATTTAAGAGCTACCAGGAGCCGGGCTCGGTGGCTCAGCCTGTAATCCCGCGCCTTTGGGAGGCTGAGGTGAGTGGATTGCCTGAGCCCGCGGGTTCGAGACCCGCCTGGGCAGCGAGACCTCATCTCTACAATAAATCAAAAAATCAGCCGGGTGTGGTAGCGCATGCCTGTAATTCTGGCTACTCGGAAGGCTGAGGCGTAAGGATCGCCGGAGCCCAGCAGGTCGAGGCTGCGGTGGCCGGAAGTGGCCACTGCACTCCAGTCTGGGCGACAGAGTGAGACTCCATCTCAAAAAAAAATAAACTAAAAAAAAGAGCTACCAGGAACTCAAATGTGTCGAAAAGAAAAAAAAAACCATTACAAAGTGGGCAAAAGATATGAATAGACACTTCTCAAAAGAAGACATACAAGCAGCCAGCAGATACATGAAAAAATACTCAGCCTCACTAGTCATCAAAGAAATGCAAATTAAAACCACACTGAAATATCACCTAACTGAGAAACCCAGTCAGGATGGCCATCATCAGTGACTCAAAAAACAACAGATGCCGGAGAGGATGTGGGGAAAAGGGAACACTTCTACACTGTCGGTGGGAGTGTAAACTAGTACAACCTATGTGGAAAACAGTGTCATGCCGGACTTGGTGGCTCAGCCTGTAATCCCGCACCTTTGGGAGGCTGAGGTGAGTGGATTGCCTGAGCCCGCGGGTTTGAGACCCTCCTGGGCGGCTTGGCGAGACCTCATCTGTACAATAAATCAAAAATTAGCCAGGCGTAGCGTGTGCCTGTAGTTCCAGCTACTTGGAAGGCTGAAGCAGAAGGATTGCTAGAGCCCAGCAGGTCGAGGCTGCAGTGGCCAGGAGCATGCCACTGCCCTCCGGCCTGGGTGACAGAAGGAGAATCCAACTCAAAAAAAAAAAAAAAAAAAGAAAAAAAAAGAAAAGAAAACAGTATGACGATTCCTAAAAGTTCTAAAAATCCACTTTCCATATGATCCATTAATCCCTCTACTGGGAATATACCCGGAGGAACCAAATTACTCTATGAATAAGATACCTGCACACGCATGTTTATTGCAGCATTATTCACAATAGTGAAAACATGGAACCAACTGTGCTGCCCATTGAAAGAGGACTGGATAAAAATAATGTGGTACATATACACGATGGAATATTACTCAGCCATAAAGAAGGACAAAATTATGTACTTCACTGCAACTTGGATGGACATAGAGTCTATAATACTGAGTGATCTAGCACAGAAACAAAGAACTGAGTACCACATGTTCTCACTCATGAGTGGACCTTGAACAATTATCATAATACTTTAAGTAAGGGATTGGCAGTAGTTGAAAACTACCAGGGGAGTAGGAAATGGGATTGGCAGTATTGGGAAACTGCCAGGGGAAGGGGGGGCACACCTCATCAGCAAGGGTACCTGCATAATGAACATTTGTAAACTTAATCCTGAATTATACCCCACTTCTTCAAAATAAAAATAATTTAAAAATTTTTTAATGTACATTTCTATGTCTTTATTGGAGATTGAGGTCTTTCCTGTTTGTCATCTTTATTTTTTCTGTAAATTGCTTTTTATGTTATTAATTTGTGACAGCTATAACTGTAAATTTTATTAACCCTTTGTCACGTGTATTGCAAATCTCCCTGTTTTGAAACTGCTGTTTGTTTTCAGAGTTTATGTGAGTTGAGCTATAGTGATATGTTACTATCAGTGGAATAAAATATGGCCTTTCTGTTTTCGAAAATACTCCAGTCACTTTAAGGCGATTCTTGCCTTGACAAAAATTATAAGGAATCATTTTTGGACCCATTTTCTGGTAAATCTTGTAAAAATTAACCAAGTACTGTTTTCAAGAACTGTGATATAGTCAGTTCAATTAAGAATTTGCATAGGGAGATTATTTTAGTACTTGAAATTAAAGTGTTAGCATTTGCTGTTGTTTGTAAACTTATAAGACAACAAAAAAAATCTTGGTCTAAGTACATAACTTAATAATTTTGATATTTATTTATTGGTTGATTATAGTGCCAAACATTTTTAAGATAATAGATAGCTAAAATACCCAGATTTGTTCATCAGAATGTCTCCTTTTCCAAATTAACTTTCCTAAATATTCTGCCTTTATGAAATTTTTGGTTAACAATATCATTATACAGTAAACCTTTCCTAACTCCCACAAATGTAAATTTGAAGGATTTGTGTACTTTTAGAATTTAATCTTTGAGGTTAAATTAATTTGATATTATATAACATATAGGCATTGAAGGAGAGATTGCCATTGATGTTTTATGCCTAGTGAGAATAAGTAAATATAATGAAAATTCATATCCCCAAGAATACATTCTCTAGTTAATAATCCCATTATAATGCTGTTACATCAGTTTTCAAAGGATTTTTAGAAAACTTAGGCTGAATATTGACTTTATCTGTAGGTAAATACTTTTTAGAAAGTATGAAGATCATAAATCTCATTGTATTGGCTTAAGTAGTAGTGGTTCTTCTAACTTTCAGATTGTTACCTTCAATTTGCATGAATGCTAAAAAGCTGCTCTAGCTACTGGTTTTGTAGTTGCAAAGAAGAAAAGAAATTTGAAGTAAAGTTTAAATTTATTCAGGCAAAAACAGACTATTGCCTTGCTAGAGTACCCGAAATAATGTCTGAGGCCACATTCAAAAGAAAAAAGGAGAAAAAGCAACAAAGGAGAAATTGACCATTGAGGTAATTTAAATTGCAGTAGAGATGAGTGGAGGAGGATAGGAAGGTCAGATTAGGTGTCATGTTCATGTTCACAAATTTAGACTTTTGACATCATCACCACATGCAGTTATACGTATAGTCAAAGAAGTAACTGGGAATCTTGAAAAGAAGATGATGTTCATTTTCAAACTGGAAATGTGTTCCATTACCAGACCACCTCATATGTTACACTTGATAGATAGAGTTTTAAATGTCCCTGTCATAACTTTTTGGATAGCACTGTTACATTGCATTGTGTCTGTATGTGTTAAGTATTAATTTGTTAAATGTTTAAGTTAGTATCAGAATCTCCCTTGAGTTTATTTATTTTAAAAATAAAGAGCTCATCCAAGTGGCATTCTTTAACCTCTGAGGAACCCTGAACTCTCCAATCCACTCTGTGTTAAAAATTTATAAGCCTGTTATGTGTCTCTTTCTAAGGATAACGTGTCCTGGAAGGGTATAGTCTCCTATGCTAGTCTCTCATCTAGGGCAGCAGTGGTCTTGTTCAGCTCTGTATCCTCAGTATGTAGTAATTAACAGGGTGCTAATAAGCACGAGGTGGGTGCTTAGCTTTTCCATGACAAATCAAGCCCTTTTTTTCCTTTTGCCTTTTTGTTTCTTAGTTATTTGAAGTGTTCTGTGGAGGCATACCTACTAGAACCAAGAAAGTTTTGGTAATGAATTGTTTTGGAAAAAGAAATCTGTGAAATTTCTTGTCCTGTGCTAGAGAATCAAATATTTTTTGACTACCATAATTTATTTTAACATAAATATTTTCCTTATTCCCAATATAATGATCCAAAACATTTTATGATCTCTACAGCTGCAGTGAGAAGAGGAGTTTGTTATTTTAATCGGAGGCTGAAGAAACTATAGAATTAGCAGACAGAGAAAGTGTTGAAGGTAGAGGATGGAGTTGCAGACTCTACAAGAGGCTCTTAAAGTGGAAATTCAGGTTCACCAGGTATGTTACATTATTGGCGTCTCCCATGTCATGTTACTAGGTAATGGCTAAGATCAGTAAATGAGCCCATCTCTGGTTTTTAGTACAGTTTTTAATCTTCCAGGCAGTTGTCCCAAGTCATATCATTTGCCTTTTATCATTTCTCAACAAACTCATAGGTACTGCTTTTTAGAACTTTAAGAAAATATTCCTGACTTCATTTCCAGAGAAAGGAATTGAAAATATTTTTTCATATAGCAAAGGTGTTAAAAAAAACCCAAAAAAACAACCTTCTTTTTTTTCTGTTTTTTGGGTTTTCTGAAGGACTTTGTTCATGTGATTTGACTTGCATATTTTAAATAACGAGACATGTTTAACTCAGCAGCCATATGCAGTAAAGTTTTTACTCATCATATGACTCAGCTTTATGCCTTGATTTCAATCTTTAGTAAAGAAAATGTGATTGTCTTCACAGATGTTTAAATTTCGAATTTCACAATTCTTACATTTTTATCCCAAGTATCTAGACTAAACAAACATTTAAAGTATATATAAATGAAACATATTATAAATATACTTATGTTATATAATTTGTTTCTATATTATAATGGTACTAATAAATACTATTAAGTTTAATACTATTAAAATATTAAATATAGTTTATATATGAATATATAAAAGTAAGTATATACATAACTGTAGTTAGGACAAAAAGCTATCTTTAGGCTGGGTGTGGTGGCTCATGCCCATAATCCCAGGAGATTCCATGAGCCCAGGAGTCTGAGACCAGTCTAAGAAACATAGTGAGAGACCTTGTCTCTATAAAAAATAAAAAAATTAGCCGGGCATGGTGATGTGCACCTGTAGTCCTGGCTACTAGGGAGGTTGAGGCAGAAGGATCTCCTGAGCCTCAGGAGATTGAGGCTGTAGTGAGCCATTTACAAACACACATACATACATATAATCCTTGGTACTCAAAAGTGATAAATGACGATTAATTGATTACTTTTCAATGTGTAACAATTGGAAATATAGGAGTAGAGAAGAGAAGAAGAAGTAAAACTACTTTTTAAAGGTATTTGTTATTGGTATAGTTTCCCTTGTTTTATCTGAATAGTCTAATGTAGCATTACTTCCTGAAGTTGTTGGGAGAATATCTTGGGCTTTTGATGACTACTAGATTTGCATGTTGCCCACCTTTAGTGTGGATGAGAATTTACAGGAAGCTTCAGAGGCACTTGTTCATAAATCCTTGCTGCTCCTTTGGATCTTGTTAAATTCTTTCTCAGCAGCAGCTTGCCTTGTGCAGGTGGGCTTCTTTTAGTATATAATAAGTTGTGCACATTTTATTATTTTTTTTGGCCTTGCTTCTGGTACTAATTGAGAGTAAAACTTTGTTTACAAAAACAAGCTTGTCTTTTTCTGGTGAAAGTATTTTAACATGGAGATGTGCTAGATAGTACCAGATGTGCTAGGTAGTACCAGATAATTGATCATGACAAAATGACAAGTGACAAAAGTTAAATTTACTATTTGTTCAAAGCTGACATCATCATTTAATGAGTTTTGGAAGTGCAGCAATCTGAAATTCGTGTGGATCAAAGATAATTTTATGATGCTGTATGTGATTTTTGGAGTGTTTCTCCTCTCAAGAAATTTGAGATGGCAAAGTTAACATTCTGCTTTTAGTTCCTCCTAGGATATGAATAAGCCCCAAATAATCCTTTCTTGAAAGACTCAGTACTCTAAGTGAAGTTAATTACTAAATTAAATCGTGTTCTTAAATATTATTTTGTTTCATGCTTTAAGTTCAAGCATACCAATTTAATAAATATTATAATTGTAAAAAAACTTAATCTTTATTATTCTGTTTTTAAATGTAATTAAAATTTTAAATTTTCATTTGTTGAATCAGAAGAGATATAGTATTATTCCTGAAGTTTTCCTCACCACTCACTTAATATTCACATTGCCTATTAATCTAGTTCCCTATATATTTACCTATTTATTTTGAGCATAAAATCAATAGCTTTTATATTCTTCCTTTATTATACAATGTTTTTTGTACAGTTTATCTATATGTCAGTGAATTATATTTTAACAGATAAAGCATATAAGATATTTCACTCCAGTTACATTTGTGTTATTTTCCTCTTTTTGAAAAAAGAATGTATGTGGGATAACCTGTGTAGTCATTGATCATGACAAATTCTGATTCTAGAAATAACATCAGAGTAGGGGCATTGGTTGCTAGGGTGAGGCCAAAAGCCAGAATGTACATTTGACTAAAACTATTGGGGCAAAAGCCACCCTTTGCTGCATTTCCAGTTAGGGAATGAAGTTAGGGTTGATATTCAGCTTATTGGATAGAAAATGTGTTATGAAAAATTAGCTGGTACTACTTTGGTAAAAGTATATTTTTGTTCCTATGTTTTCTTTATGAATGGGAGAAAGTAGCAGTGTACAAATAGTTGATGTTCAATGTAAATTTAAATAATAATGGTCTGTGATGGATGTCTCATCTTTTTGGGGAAATTACCTTTTTTCCTCTCTCCTTTGTTCTTATGTAGATTTCATGGGGTCATATTTAAATTTTCAGAGTATTTACTCCATATGAAATGGAGAATAGTATAAAGCAGAGGTTAGCAGACTTTTTCTGTAAAGGGCCAGAGAGTAAAATATTTTTGGCTTTGCAGTTAATTTATGGTCTCTGTCACAACTGTTCTACTTTGCTGTTGTACAGACAAAACAGCCACAGACAACATATAAATGAATGAGTATGGCTCTCTTCCATAAAACTTTATTTACAAAAACAGGTGGTGGGCCAGATTTGGCCTATGGGCTGTTGTTTGCTTATCCTTGGCATAAAGTATATCTTCATGAAAAATTGCTGCATTCTTGCAATAGAAAGTAATTTAACTTTGTTAACACAATGTCAGCTTAAAGTCACTTGGTATTTGGATGGTCTAGTAAGTTGCCCGCTTATCCTATCCTACCCCTGATTGTTTGAACTGCTTATAGATAGAAAAGTTGGTTTATTTATTTCTTCCAGAGATGGAGACTTAATGTGGTTATCAGTTAATTTTAAAATTTCCGCATCATAGCAGAAAACCTTTTTTAGCTTTAGTAATTTAACATTAATATAGTAGCCAACTCTCTGGTAACCAAATCAAAAGGGATAAGCTTTCTTTCATTGAAGAGTGTAGCTAGCATTAGTGTGAAAATGTATAAAACTTTGTGTTCCAATTTCCTTGAACTTTTGGAATATGTATTATTGCTATTTTATAGATTAATACTAGGATATAGAAGAGCTACTGCTGTTAAATATAAAGTAGAATGTAGTGACATATACCTTGCATATTTGGAGGTCACATGGTTGGCAACCTCAGTTATCTAGAATGTGTCTTAGCACTAAGAAGAAAGGCTTTTGACCAATTAGAATAAATGTCAGAAGGAATACACCAAAGATTATATATTTTACTCAAGGGGAATTTTCTAGGTTATTAGAACTATTCATTAATCTTAAGATTAGTTCACTGAACATATCACATAGCAGATCTGAAGCAGCAAATTTGAGATAGGGCTCAGGGCTGTTAGAATAGTAGCAAGAGCTGGTTGTGATGGCTCATGCCTGTAACCCCAGCTACTCAGGAGGCTGAGGTGGGAGGATTACTTGTGCCCAGGAATTAGAGGCTGCTATGTGAGCTGTGATCTTGCCACTCCAAACCTAGGTAATAGAGTGAGACCCTATCTCCTTAAAAAAAAAACAACAACAAGAATAGTAGCAAGATTTGCTGGCTTGACTGCTTGACATTAAGGAGTAGACTGAAAATCTAAAATGCTGGCAAAACTTTGATACATAGAGGTTTGGGACCTTTAATTGTAAGGACCTTATTGTATTGCTTGTAGTAAGTATGTTAGTTGATTTAATCATGCCTATGAGTATCAATAAAAGCTTCGCTTTTTTCTATTTAAAAAGGTAGATAATTATATAGTATATCTGAGAAAGATTTCATTTATGACTAAACAATTTAAAAGTGCCTTGTCACCCAAAGAGAGTGACAGATTATTTTATTTTATTATATGAAAAATTCACTTGGGGAGCAACTTACTCCCAGATACTTTTAGGAATCAGCCATCTGACATTCCTTTATCCTTCAAGTTCTTCTGTCCATGTTCATTGTTACCATTTGGCAGTGATGTAATTAGAAGTCGGGTTAGGTCAAATGACATTCATTTTTCTTTGTTTTTATTTGTTAGGGCTTCTGTTTTCCCTAGTAAAGGTTTTTGTCATTCAGTATTGGGGTAGCACTCTCTACCCAGAGGAACCCAGGTAGGTAGAGTTTTGCACTGTTGTCCCTCCACTTCCTCATTCTCAAATACTGAGCATCACTGTTTCGTTGAAGTCATTCTCCTCAAGCCCCATCCTTCCTTGGCAAGGTCACATCTGATAATAGGCTCCTTCTGTAGTAAGCAGCAAACCAAAAGACTTGCCAGATCTGTACTTTGCTATGTACAAACAGGTTTGTTTTGTATGGGGACTAGCTTCTTTCCAAGCCTTGTTTGGGACACTAGACAATGACATTTTAAAGGGATATTTGGCTTTTGGAGCATCCAGCTTATTGAAATTGCCTTTCAGAAGCCACTGTCTCCCATCCCTCTGTCCAGATTTAAAAATCAGGTGCTTCATCATTTCAAATATAAAGTGGTAGTTTGATTTGATTTGATTTTTTTAATGTTAGCCTTTTACATGGCTCATTGAAAGTTTTGGTCTGTTTTGATTGTGATATTGCTCTTTTTTTGTTGTTGATTTAAAGCCCTCGTTTTTTGGACTCAACCTGATTAGCCGTAGGGAGTTAATATGTAAGACTGATGGCTCTTTCTCTCTCTTTGTTACCAGAAACTGGTTGCTCAAATGAAGCAAGATCCACAGGTAAAATACTGTTGTTTTTCATTTACTTTTTAAATTAAAAAATAATTTTAAATAAAGTGACCATAAAATACTAAAATGTAAATAGTACTTAAATTTAAAGAACTATTTCATTTCTAATAGCAATTATTTTTTGTATATTGGTCTTTATGTTTTAATGGTTTAGAAAAATTCAGTCTTTTTATTATAATATAGCTATCATTTCATCTTTGTTACTATATATTAATTGCTTTGAGTAGTTTGGGAAAAATTGAGAGTTAATACTCTTCATGTAATGTAAATTTCATTTCCATAAACCTATTTATTTAAAGTCAGGGTTGGTGAGGCTTTGTGTAGTCTCAAAATTATTGAAAGTGACCCCAACCCACTTTTATTTACTTGGGATTTATAGTACAGAACACTTGAATAGTACTAAACTTCTCTCTGTTCAGGGTAAGAATTTTAGAATAAATTTTTAAAAGCATTTTAAGAAATTTTGTATTTGAAAGAGTCCTTAAAGGGGCCTTAAAAAGTACCTTATGCGATAACTCAGAAAACATGAACTTCTCTTCAAATTCTCATAGGAGTTTTGACTTGTGCATTTTATTCTCTATTCTTAAAAATCTTTCTAAAAAGTTATCTTGTCTTCTAATGCTTATATTTATTATTCAGGCAGTATCTGATTTGCAACCATTAGACAGTGGGCTTGGAGAGTATTAACTATATTTGTATATATATCTGGGTTGTTAAACGTATCATACATGCCTCGTTGTAAAGTAAAATACTTTTTTTGATTGAAGCATAATGTTGAGGCATATTGATTTTTGAAAATGGAAAATAATATTCATCTCTATAAATTTAGGACTCAGAGATCTAACAGTTGTGTTTTAGTATAATCCATTGAATCTGAGGTCTAGCATTGGTACCCATACTTATTCCTGTTGGACAGTCCAACTTCCATGAGAAACTTCTTTTTTTTTTTTGGGGGGGGGTATATTCACAATTTAAATTGAATTTAGGGAACTAAGAGTGGTAGACCTTAGACTAATAGATTCTTTCATATTTAATGTAGCAACCTACACTGTCACCAACTGTGAAATATTAGAAACTAGCATGTCTGTTATAGTTGGTGATGGTGTAACAGAACAGTCTTAACCTGAAGTATTTGAGGAGGCAGTAAGTTGTTGGACAGCATTGCAGGCGATCTCATTAGAGAATCAAAGTGGAGTGAGCATAAAACTCAATAGAAGGGGAGGATGTGTGCCCCAACCGTGACAGAAGGCCAGGCAGGGTAAATGGAAAGAATCATGTGTGAGATGATCAAGTGAAAGCAGTCTCTCATTGGGGTGGTGTTCAGTCTGCTTGCAGGCTGTCCTGCTACTACGTTAAGCATTTGAAAACTTTAATTTTGGAATTTCTTTGCCTACTTTAGTAAAAGGCAATCATGCTCAGAGTATCTCATCTAAAATAGTGTTCTTTTTTTGATTCCTAGAATTTTAGAACTGAGAAAATGCCCTGGTAGTCAGTGTGTTAATTTGAATGATGTAGTGTTAAGGCAGTTGCAGTACTGACAGCTTTTCAGATCTAGGCTAAAATAACAAATGTACTTTGCTAAATAAGGGTGAGGGCAAGTGGAGAAAAACCTTTTATTTTTGTTGATAATGCTGCTAAGCATGTATATGTACTTACAACATCCATTTTCCTGTTCTTGTCTGATTAGTAGAGCTTTAGATTTTCTGTCAACTGATACTCTCTATAAAGAATAATATTTTGGTAGACAGGTACAATTATCATGCAAGATGCTAAAATATAAAACTTCTTGTAACTTAAAATGATTGCAAAGAAGCTGCCCCTGTTTTGGAGCTAGGAGCCTACATTTAGGATCTGTGCAGTAGGTGGTATTATGACTACAGTTGACGCATGACAAATTTGATTGGCTGAATGCTTAAGGTTGCTTCATCATTTGAAATACAGTATGCATAGTCTTCTTGCTACTATTCTGTTAACAAATGAAATATCTCTCTCACAGATATTTTTTCTTTCCAATCAGAATGCTGACTTAAAGAAACAACTTCATGAACTCCAAGCCAAAATCACAGCTTTGAGTGAGAAACAGGTAGGGAAAGGGGGGGGGGTGCATATTTTTAACATTGTGTTCTAAAGATACTCTGCTTGAGGCTTCTAAGAGAACTGCTATTTTTCTTCATGTGTGAAAATAAGTGTGGGCAGCCAGACTTGGTTTTAATTTTGTTTGAGCTCTGTTTATCTATTTTTATTTTTGGTTGAAATCAGTCTCTAGAGTATCCCATGGGTATATGTTACTGGCAAATAACTAAAAGCAATGTGGCAGGCTGCCATTAACTGTGTTAATTAAATGCTATAGTTTACCCATAGGGGTAAAGGGGTAAAGAAAGTTAGTGTGAGTATGTTATAGAGAATCTTGCAGCTGCTGTATGTACCTTCTTACCTATCTTGAAGACTTGAGCTGACATTTAACTTAGTGTGAAGAGAATAGTTGTAAGTAGATTGCCATAAATGTAGGTCTCCCTTTCTATGTATTGTCATACCTTTATGTTAATCCCTATTAGAGATTGACCAGCTATTATGTGAAAAAACTTTGATGAAATCTCGTTATACTTTATATAAGTCAAGAGAAGAGCATCTTGCTTTTTTCCAAGGACATCTGGAAAGTATTTTTTGTAATTTTTTGATGATGACCACCAATTCAGGTAGCACCTGCCACCAATTGATAGTGACAATTGATAGAGCTGTAAGTAAATGTCTGTGATAATCTGACAAAGTATTTGTTTTCTTGTTCCTTCCCTACTACTCTTCCTCTGTCATGGAGAAGGTGAATGTTGAACCTAAAGAATAAGGTGACTTGAAGTTGATATTTCATGCTAGTGACATCTTATTTTTTACTTAACAGTCCTCAAGAATTGTTTTCATGTTGTTTTTTAAGCTTTTATTTAGTGAAATGTTAGCAGTGAGAGGACTTTATTCCTGGATATTTTTTATTATGTTTTGTTTTCATTTAACTTTAAATGAGGGGATAAATAGACTTCGAGAATTATGATAAATAGATATGAGGAGTTAATGTTTCTGAATAGAATTTTCCAAACTGAGTGCACAACTGCTTTTTACTCTTTCCTCCTGTTCTTACACTTCCCCGTTTTGTCTTTTCCACAGACAGGGGGTAGTCTAGATTAAGGAATTGCCAAACTAAAATTGGGAGAAGATGGAATTGTAGAGAAAAATTTGTTAGGAAAAATATAAACAGAGTTGGTTAGTATGTATTTGACTCTGAATACGGTTCAGTTCTCTAAAGTCAAAATGATGTGTGTTAGGGAAAGTGTTCTAGCTTTAGAATTCTGGTAGCACTGAGCCTCCTTATAGTTTCAGGGTTAGTTTGACAAGATGCCAATGAATGAGTCATTTTTGCTTAAAAAAAAAAAAATCACGTGTTCCAGCAGGAAAAAAGATGAGAACTGACTAGTGAGAGGGTTGGGGGATGCTGTTGTTAAGTTAAGGCTACGTGTGGGAAAAGGGGGCAATTTTCAAAATTTACACTTATTTGAAATTTTTATTTGTAAGAACTAATGGAAAGATTCAGTTTATTCTGTTACTTTTTATTCTTTAAATTTTTTTTCTGCTAGGGACCTCACTTAATAGAAAATCACAACTATCTGTTCAGTAAGACATTTCATCAAGTGACAAACTCTAATTGTTATCTGAACTAAGTTTGAATTTTAGAGACTGGAATTTTAAAAAATGCCTAGCATCTGGAAAATCTTAGGTATGCAAAGTAAAGAAAAGTAGACTGAGAACCTGAACTGCAGTATTGCAGTTTTTATATTTCCTAAACTTTTGAAAACAATTTTTTGATGTAACAGAAGAATATTTTTAGGTAGGATAGTACTGAAGGAAGCACAGCTATAAAGTTCAAAAGCTGATCCCTTCTCAGACTAATTTCCAACATGAAATGTTGCTATCTAGTTTAAAATAGTTATATTTTAGAACAGCTTTCTATTTCTATCTGCCCAGTTTTTTGTTTTTTTCTTCTCAAAAGAGCCACTTATCCTCTGGCTAAACTTACTACTTTTCCCCCCACTTTAATAACTAAAATCTGAATTACTTTACTCATATGACTAATATTTTAATTTAACTTTACTTATTTGTTAGGAAATTTTAAAATACAGAAAAGTTTGAAGAATGATGTCATATTACAGACTTAATTGTTAAACCATTGTCACATTTGCTTCCATTTTCTATATGTTCTTTTCTATAATCATTTTTCCTATATCCATTTGAAAACTTAATTATATAATTTATAAATGCATATATTCTCTTACTTTGCTTTATTTTAAAAAATTGTAGATATTCATTCTTACAATAGACACTTATTCTAATTCATTGTTACCACTTCAATCCTTGATACTTACTCAATTTGTTCCTCAAAACCATGTAATGGTTTTCTCTGTTTGGGAAAATATGGCCTTTAATGAGCATCTTTCTTGGCTAAGCCTCAGTGTATTTCATTGAATTCTTAGTTGGAATGTTTTTGTGCTCTCAAAGTGTAACTTGAGATTTCTAGAGAGAAACTCTGGCAGATTTTGAAGTCAGCTCTTGACCTATAGGGCTTCAATTTGTGGTTGACAGTTTTAGCTCAGAAAATCCCCAGATTTGATTGGCTAGATAAATTATATGTCATATAACTATTAGGATCATGGTTTTGAAGTTTTTTGTTTTTTGTGTTTTTTGAGTTGGAGTCTCACTCTGTCGCCCAGGCTGGAGTGCAGTGGCACACTCATGGCCACCCCAGTGTTGACCTGCTGGGCTCTGGCGATCCTTCCGCCTCAGCCTTCCAGGTAGCTGATAATACAGGCGCGTGCTACTATGCCCAGCTAATTTTTGTTGTTGTTGTTGTAGAGATGAGTTCTCACCAAGTTGCCTGTGCTGGTCTCGAACCCACGGGCTCAGGCAGTCCTTTCACCTCGGCCTCACAAAGTGCTCAGTGGGATTACAGGCTGAGCCATTGAGCCCGTCCTGAAAAGTATTTTAATGACATAGGAATGCACTCTGCAATAATAAATGAGAAAGTACATACAACTTTATAAGCATTGCAGTCCCATTTTTGTGTGTGTTGTATGTATATATGTATGTGGGCATGTAAATGTGTGTAAAAATAATGCCAGTATAGAATGTTGGAAGGTGATGAGTTTACAGGTGGTTAATTTTTCTTTGTATTCTTGTGTACATTTTCTAAATTCTCCACAATAAATATGTTTCCCTTTTAGAATCAGAAATAAACAAGAAGCATTATTTAAACAAATTTTTAGCACCAAGTTCCTTGTCTGTTTCAGGGATAGTTAGCATTTCAAAATCGAATAGCATTCTCCTCATGGTATATGAGCCACTCTAATCAGAAAATCCAGTGATTTTAAACACAAGTAATGCTGAGGTATAGAAGCAACGGTTAATTTCTTCAGCAGCATTCATTCTTATTCTGCACTCCTCCATTATTTTTTGACAGGTATATATGGTCTTTTTCTTGTCAGAATAGAGAGATTCTGATTTGTACCCAAAGCACCTAGTTGTTTTAGTGGTCTGCTTTCATCCTAATTCCTTGTAGGGGCAATCTTGACATCCCAAAGTCTGTTGCTTGTTATTGTGGTGATTCAGGGTTAAGCTGTCGTAGTTGCACCTTTGTTTTTTGTTTTTTGTTTTTGTTTTTGTTTTGGCCTGAATAGTTTGCTGCCCTGCCTCACTTCACCTGGTGCCCACATAGTCAGATTTTATGTTACAGCTTAACTGTTACCTCCTCAGAAGAGGTAATCCCGAAACCCTTTTCTCTTGTCAAACTCAATGTTTTGGTATAATCTCTCATTGAACTCTTCATTTTTCCTTCATAGTTATGCCATTTAGGATTAGATTCAGCCGTGAATGACTGAAAGCCCAAAATGTAAGTGGTGTAAACAGGTCAAATTTTATTTCTCACTCATCCAAAAATGCTGTAGGTGGACTCAGACTGCTGAGAGTATTGTTCCCCAGTATCAGGGAACCCAGGTTCCTCTGTTGCTCTGACATTCCCAGCATGAAGCTTCCACATTACAGTCCAAAATAACTGCTCCAGCCGGGCTCGGTGGCTCAATCTGTAATCCTGGGCTTTGGGAAGCTGAGGTGAGTGGATTACCTAGCCTGCGTGTTCGAGACCCGCCTGGGCAACTCTCTACAATAAATCTCTACAATAAATCAAAAGTCAGCCGGGTGTGGTAGTGCATGCCTGTAATTCCGGCTACTCAGAAGGCTGAGGCTGAAGGATCGCCGGAGCCCAGCAGGTCGAGGCCGTGGTGGCTGGGAGTGGCCACTGCACTCCAGTCTGGGTGACAGAGTAAGACTCCAACTCAAAAAAAAAAGAACAAAAACAAAATAACTGCTCCATCTGGTAAGAAGGGGGAAAAGCAACAAAGAGCAAGCCTTTTATTTTTAAGGATTTTTCTAAAAGTTGCATGGACCCCTTCCAGCTAAGATCTATTGGCTTGAACTTGGTCACATGACCCCAACTAGGAGCAAGGAACGCTGGAAAATGTAGTTTATTGCTGGAGGTCATGGCCAAGTAGAATTCAGGGACTAATACTGAGTAAGAATTAGGAGATAATTAAGTACTGGATACAATTAACAGTTTCTACTACAGTAGCATATTGCAGTTTGTAATTATATACCTATCTATATGATTATTATGTTTAAAATACCTTTCTTCTTTGTTAGATTGTTTCAAGAAGGCAGGGGACGTATTTGTTTTATTTACTTTTTTATTCTTAGTATAATACTTAACATTAGAATAGTACTAACATAGAAGTACTTATATTACTTAAATGAGGTATTTTATCAACCTGATCTTTTTCCCTGCTTATACAGTAATTTTTTAATAGAACAATGCATCTTTCTTTTTATGCTTTTAAAACTTAACATATTATGAAGATCTTCTTACATTTTTTAGTGTTCTTTGACAATATGATTTTTTTTTTGAGTTGAAGTCTCTGTTTCCCAGGATAGAATGCAGTGGCACTATCATCACTCACCGCAGCCTCTTCCTCCTGGGCTCACAAGCAATCC